GGGCGGTCCGGGGCGGGGCGGGGCGGGGCGAGGCCGGGGCGGGCGGGGCGGGGCCTGCTTCCTGCTGTAGCTGTGGAATTTGTGGCTTGTAGTCCATAGAGTTAAGTTTTTTAATGTGGGTTTTTTTGTGTGGTGCAAAGTATGGATCTGAGGCCACCTATTTATTGGAGTGTGTTACCATTCACTCAAAAGGCTTTCTCCCCCATGTCTACGGTTGGAATTTAAAAGCTGTTTTGGGTCTGTCATTGGGTGTGATCTATTCAGGTGGTTGTTTATGTTTCCCTTCCTGTAGCCTCAGAATGAGTTTAGAAAACACATTGTGTTTGACTTGCAGTCTATATTTTTTTTCCCCCAAGTCACTGTAGCCCAGGCCGGCCTCAAACTCATAATCTACTTAGTAACAATTACGAGTTGTGTTACTGTTGGACAAAGTAAGTTTTTTCATTCATGTGGGTGTTTCTGTTAACAAATTTCATCTTTTGTCTGTTCCATCCTTGTCAGATTTATCCCAAAGTCAAAGAGTTTGGGAGGAAAACGACTTTTTGCTGCTGTGTAAGTGAACATTTCCAGTTTCAATTTCCACTTGCTCTTTGCTAATATATAGGAAGTTCATTTTTTTGAAATTTTGTGTATGCATTTTGTAAAAGCCTCTTTTGAATTCTTGGTAGTTGTTTTGTACATTATACCAAATATTCTACACTGCAGAATTAATGTCTATATACGGTGCTACTTCCTTCCCACACCAGATACTTCGTGTACCTTTCTTGCAGTTTTGCCTGGTTCTAAGCTGCTACTCAACAGCGATCAGAAAGGCCAGGAGCGGACAGCTGCCCCCCTTCAGAGCGTAGAGGAAAGGCATTCTGCGTTTGCACAGGAGCTGAGGACTGGAGCCGAGTGCCATGCTTGGGCGAGGCATACTCTACCTCTGAGTTCTAGCGCTGCCCACACGGAGGCTTACATACCCACTCAGGTGGAACACCAATTACCCTCTTCTTAGTTGTTGAGCAATTTTGTCAAGAATAGGTGTTGGATTTTTGTCAGTGCTTTCCTGAAGCTGTTGAAATGACCATCCAGCTTTCCTTTTTCCTTTTTTTAAATTGCACATGTGCTCCCTTTGAAAAGGTATATTGAAGTTCTAGTGTAGGAGCTGTGAGTGAATAGTACCTCTTTCTTTTTTCAAAAATGAGGGGATTGATCCCAGGCCCTCCTGCCTGCTGGACACTACCATTGAGCTGCATTTTCCACTCATTTTTATTGAGACAGGGTCTCCCTGAGTTGTCCAGGCTCCCTTGCTGTCCTCCTTTCCTAGCCTTCCATGCAGGCATGTGCCACCATGCCTAGCCATGTGAATGTATTTCTATGCAGGAGCCTGTGAAGGTATTTGTTAAAAGTATGTCAGTTTGGGTGAGATCTAATCCAATATGATGTCATCCTTATAAAAAAAGGTGCTGTGCCATGCCTCTAATCCCAGCGTCTCAAAGACTGAGGCAGGAGTCTGAGGCTCAAGGGTTGGGATTGTAGCTCAGTTAGTAGAGTAACCCTGAGTTCAGTCCCCAGTGCTATTAAACTGGAAATAAAGACATTGAACACACACACACACTCACACTCACGCTCAGGGAAGCACTGTGTGAGGAGGCACAGGGAAAGGTGGCTGTCCACACGCTAAGGACCGCTGAGCTCCCAAGCCAGGAGGGGAGCCCAGGAGATTTCTGTCTACCAGGAGGGACGTGGCACTGATCTCTGATTGGTGGTGACAGCGGTCCCTCTTGTCCACAGCACATATGCACCTCTAGGCTGCTAGCCTGGGAAATTAGCATCTGTGGTAAATAAATAGCTGAGTTGAGCTTTGAACATGAAGGCAGCTTTGATATGCTGAAGGAGTTCTCATTTGTCAGGATGTATTACCCATTTAATGTAGTTAAGTTTGCTAACATTTTGTTTAGTTTTCAACGTGTCATTAGGATGTTGGTCTGATTTTTGTTTGCTGGTGTTTGTAATGCTTCTGCCTTGCTTTGTTACTCATGTGATGTTAACTTCACAGAATGAGTGAAGAAGCTTCCCCGCTTTGGTTTTCTAGGAAGAATTATGTAAAATGTGCTTCTTCCTTAAATTTTCATTAGAACTTACCAGTAAAGTCCCATGAACCTGGAAGGAAGGTTTAAACTGCAGGCTTTAGTAGGTAAGTGTTCTTGGGGCCATATTTCTGAGGAATTTGTCTCTTAGCTACACTCTGAGCAGGGCTCATGTGTAATATTCTGTGTCACCCTTGTCCTCCTCTGACCGTGGAGATGACAGCAAAAGCAAGCTCTCGGTGTGGAGGCGGGAAAGGTTGGTGTGCCTCAGACCTGCTGAGCGCAACTGGCCTGGCCTCGGCTGCAGATGCCCCCTTTGCATCACGTGCTTCTGTCTCCTCTCACGGGACACACCGTGATAGCAGTCCATCACCCTCCTGCTTCTGCATGCAGTCACGGGACCTGGGCTGCAGCCTTGGCTTCTCGGGTGAGACGCACTTGCCCCCCCGCCCCCTGCATGAGTGCAAGGCTGGCTCCTGACGGCCTCCAGAGCAGCTCTCTCCTCCAGCCGGCACCAGTGGAGGAGGTAACTTTCTCTGGATCCTTCCAGTTTCCTGTGTGATCACCTGAGGTCCTGGAGGAAAGGTTTGCCTGTGGGTGAGAACGTGTTTTGTGGTACTGAGCACTGAATCCAGGGCTTTCTCGCTGACCTACATTCTCAGCCCATTTCTTATTTTGTTCTGAGATAAGATCTCACTAAACAGCTAAATTGCCAAGTTCCCCCACTGGGCTCGATCTTGTGATCACTCTGCCTCAGTCTCCTAGAGAGTTGGGATTACTTTATATCTGAGGCCCGAGAACCTTCCATTCACTACCGGCCCTGGTGTATAGCAATTAGTTCACAATTTCAAGGTTAATCCTCCTACCGTCTTATGTGCATTTGGAGCTGTCTGTCTCAGGTCGATGGAAGTTTGGGTCTGGTTCTTTTCTTTAAATCTGTATATTTTCAGGGTCAGTGAATTTAACAAGACTTTAATTTGCAGTGTGTCGGATTTTTATCTTATAAGATGGAAGTGACTCCACATCTTTTGAGTTAAAAACAGATGTCCATCCTTATGTCTAGCCTGTCCTTTCTTTTAGATGTCTCGGACAGCAGCAAGTTCAGTGGTCGGCTCTTGATTTGTATTCTACTTCACAGCCTGTCTCTACCTGAGATGGTTAGAGGGTTAGGTTTGCATTTACTGGTTCCTGATACTGTTGAGGTCCATCATCTTGCTGTCTGCTTTCTTTTGATTTCTGTTTTTTTGTTTGTTTAGCTATAGTACTTTGTGTAATTCCATTTTAATCTTCTTTGTTGACTACTTAGCTATGATTCTTTCCCTTCTTATTTTAGTGATTATGTTAGGGTGGTAGGATACGTCTTAAGCTTACCATATGTCTTCCAAGTAATGTTACACTACTGACAGCAGAGCCTTAAACCCCTTTACCTCTGTCCCCCAGTACTGAGGCTACTGTTGCCACACCTTAGTTTACATAGTAGCAGGCCTATGGACACATTATTTTAACTGTCAGTTATCTCTTAAAGAGACTTATTTATTTATTTATTTCAGTACCAGGGCTTGAACTTGGGACCTTGTGTGTGCCAATCAGGTATTCATGCCGCTGAGCTGTCCCCCCAGCCCACTTACAGACATTTTTTTTGGGGGGGGTCTACAGGATGTTCAAGGTCTCACTGCTAGATCAGACTCGTAGTGATCCATCTGTTTACAGCCTCCCAAGAGCTGGGATTACAGGCGTGTGCCACCACGCCCAGTCTCAGTTGCCATCTCAGCACACCCTGGGGATGGGACTGGCATGGCAGGCCGGGGGATCAAACCCCTGGCCCCTGTGCCTGCTTGCAGGCATTTTAATCTGCTGAGCTATTTGGCTGGCCCTTAACTTACAGAGATTTAAACAACAACAACAAAAAAATACCATTATGGGGCTGAGGAGATAGCTCAGTGGAATAACTGCTTGCCTGGCAAGCACAAAGCTCTGAGTTCGATCCCTGATATGGGGGGGGGCAGGGATACCATTAGCTAAGCATGGATCCACATGCCTGTAATTGTAGTACTCTGTGAGGCTGAGGCAAGAAATCACAAGTTCAAGCTCAGTGTGGGCAACTCAGCAAGATTCAGTCTCAAAGGTAGGCTGTAGAGTAGCTCAGTGTGAAGGCCCTGGGTTCAGTGCCATTAGAAAAAGAAAGAAATGTCTTATTTACACATGTAGGTACATATTTCCAGTTTCTTTCATTATTTCAAAAGCTTTTCCCCTTCTCAAGAATTTAGTTACATGCAAAATTCTTTTGAGGCCATTTTTTCTTTTGGCCTAAAATTTGTCCATTAACCTTTTTGAAGTATGTTTTTGGTGATGAATTTAGCTTTTATGTGTTTGTGAAAGATCTCCTTAGTGAGCATAAAGTTTAAGTTGACAGGATTGACTCTGGGGGGTGGCGGGGAGGATACCAGGAGCCAAAGTCAGGACCTAGCATTTGCCAGGAGATGAGATGGTAGTTACCTAGGCCTTCAGTTTGCTGTCAGTTGTGCCCTTTCCAAAGCATATGGTGTATCCCATCATCACAAATCCCAAACAGCTGCTCTGTTGCATCACCTGTGTGTGGTTTGTGCCTAGCTGTCCCCCAAAGCCTCACAAAGCCATGGGGCAGCTCCTGGAATTTGTGATTGACTTTTCATTCAAAACTGGGATTATGGGAGTGAGGGCCCCAGGGCAGATACTTTGCATTACAGTGTGAGGAGGGGAGAGAGGCCAGCTAGCTGCCTGGGCTGCTGCCAATCCTTTTTGCTCTCTAGCTTTTGCCGCTGCCATGAACGACTGCTCTCTGCCACATGGCACCCTGGCTTTTGTTTTTCCAGAATTTTTTTACACGGAGCAATTCCTAAATGCTGTGGTCTCCCCTTTTATCAAAGGGTTATTTCAATAAATCGGCTCTGTGAAGTTCTGAGTTATTATTGTAAAAATAATTAAGAATGCTGATCATGACTTCACTAGTTGGTCTCTCCGATAGTAAAGGAGCTCTACCAGGCAAGAGCCTTTCAGAGTTAAAGACTAGGGAAGCCCTTCCTTCAGGCATTCTTCCATTTCTTCCAGTACTAAGGGCTATGCACCAGGCAGCTTTTAGCCGAGCTCCACAGCACAGGGCACACAGTGAAGCCGAAGCACAGTTAAGTTGGGCTTCAACTATGTTTGAGTTCTTCTTTTAGTCCCAATTTCCTGCCACTATTTAATCAGGAGCGTTAAAGAACATACATTTACACTACATGCCTTACATGTAGTTGTTTCTAGTTGTGTCAAAAAATTAGTGTGTGAAATTATATATGTGTGAAATACATATTTATGAAAAATATATAAATATATTTGAAAATGTTTGGAATATGCATGTATTATATATATTACATATATGGGGAGGGAGAAAATAAATTTAGAATTAGAAGTACATGTACACGTGAACCGCTTGCATGTTTGTGAGCTTTGGACACATAGCCATCAGTCTCGTTCCTGCAGTAACCAAGGAGTCAGGCATTGCCCTGGACAGAGAGCCGAAGATGTGGTAGTTTGCGGTAGAGGATGTGGAGAGCATCTGGGAGATGAAAGGCCCGTCCTTGCTCCCGGGTGGCCTTTCGAAGAGCCTCCTGGACCATTCCTCCGGCCTCTGGGCCATGCACCCCTCTGGGCCTCACACTCTTGATCTCTTCTTGTCCCTGTTCTTTTGGTTTTCTTCCACAATGGGTATCACTTTCCTACATACGTTGTGCATTTATTATGTTTATTGTCTGGCCCTGTTTCTTGTCTGAGCTCCAGGCATATGTGTTCCAATGACCCTTGGTGCTGCACAATAAATGTGTGGTGAGGAAGTGAGTAGTTGTGTAAGTCTTGTGGTGCACCTAGGAAGGCACAGCTGCTTCAGTGTGAGGGCGCGGGCAAAGCCATCAGAAGGTGATGAGTTCAACAGGCCGGCAGGGGGTATGTTAGGCACACACTCAGAAGCCTCACATGGGGCGAGTGCCTCGCTCACACTACAAGTAGAACCCCCCAGTTGGTCTGTGCATGCAGTGTCCCCCCAGCATGTGAGGTCACTTTTTTCAGGCCTTTGACCTACACAATGCCCAGGTCCCCAGCTCTTATATTTTTTGAGACAGGGTCTGCCTAAGTTGCTAAGTTGCCCAGTTGGGCTCAGACTTGTGATCCTCCTGCCTCAGCCTAAGAGCTAATCTGTGCGAGATGTCACTTGCCATCTTTCTGGCCCTGCAGCCCAAGATTCTGCTATTCAAACAGAGCCTCAGAAGTAGCACCGAGTTTCCAAACAGCAGAGCACTTGTGTAAAAAGAGGCAAGAAGAGCAAGGCAAAAGGAGGTAAATGGAGATTTCATGTACAGGATTTGCGAGCACAGCAGTTTGTACCTGCAGTCTTCCAGACGGTCTCTCCACTGTCCCTGTGTCCTGAACTCCCCTCTACTTCTCGCCTTTGGTGCTGCCACCACCCTGGGTCTGTTCTGGCGAAGATGCCATTGCAGCTGTGTGCTCACCCCGGTGCCTGTGGGGCCTGGCATTCCACTCCTGCCTGCCTGCCTTTGGGTCTGGCTCTCTACATTCCCAGAGCTGTGACTGCATGTCATTCTCACACAGGCCCTGCTGAGGCAAAGGCCGCCATCTACTGGGATGCCCCGCATCCTTGCCCCGGCTTAGTCCTCAGCTGCAGCTCAGTCTTCTGAGCTCTGGATCCTTGTGTGTAGAGGCTCCTTAGTAATCACAGAGAAATTCATTCTGGCACGTCTGAACCCACACTTCCCCTGTGCACATTCCCTCCTCATTGCCCCATGTGTGTGTCCCCACCCCTGCACTCTATTCTTGTATTGCCATTCATGAACAGCTTTTCAGTTCACTCTTCATCTGGACCAACTCAGTCCGTCACTGGGTCTTGCTTTCGTTCCCATCTGTCTCTCTTCAGTCAGCTGCAGGCAGTTTAAGTCTTCCTAAAACTGAAGTCTGATCATAGTATGGCCCTCTGAACATGCTGGGGGCGAGTTAGATTCTTACGGGGGTTCCTGGCCTTCTGTGGCATACTGGGAGGTACACAGGTTTTAGTCTTTACCAGCCACAGCAGGCTGGTAACTGCGCCTGCGTGTTTCTGCATCTCCCTCTGTGGGGCTGCAGGGTGAGCTGTAGATAGTGGAGTGTCTGACACAAGGCTGGTGCTCGAGAAGTGGCCGCTCTCTGATACGTCTTATTCTCTGGCCCCACACGTGCCCTCCATGTTGGAGCAACAGGCTGGCCTGTGGATGTGGATGTGGTCAGCCTTGATCTTGCGGCAGCTGGTACTGCTGTAGGCCCTCCCTGTCTGTCTCCTTAACTCTGCTCATCATCCAGTGCTACTCCCTGTGTGTCCAGGTCCTGCAGCCACCACTGGAGCTAAGTCTGCCCTGGCCCCTGCTCCCACTGTGCCTCCATAACTCCTCTGAGTGCCTCTACACCAGTGGCCAGCAAGAGCAGCACCATGCTCCTTCTGCGCACTGCCAGCCAGCCTTCGGCACGAGTTGTCTAGATCACAAGATACGTACAGCTCTGGGGGCAAAAGTATGTGCTCGAGCTAGAATCATTTTGTGAAGTAAGTTTTAGCTGTTTTTCTAGGAAAATTTAGTCTCTTAGTTGAAAGGTAAAAACAATTCAAAGTAGATATATTCTGTATCTGTATTTGTTTAGCTCATTTAGATTCTAAAATTTCCATGACCCAATCAGCTAGATTTGGTATTATTAGATGAATGCGTTCTTTGGGCATGAAATGGATATAGTAGCCTGCCAAGGTAAACCACGTCCTAAGGAAATGAAAGCTCTGGTTAAAACCTGATGATAGATAATCCATGTGTCAGTACTCAGTTGCCTACTGCTGGGAAAACCCAATAAACTGGCTTTTAGGGCAAGTGAAAGTACTTGACTCATTATATAGTAGCTTCTGTCCATTAAAGACAAATATTAATCATCGGTACTAACTGTACTAGAAGTTGTAGATCTCAACTATCCAAATAAAAATGAAAACCAAATACCCATAAGTCAACAGTTTTTATATACTTGAAAGCCCAAAATTTACACACGTGGGGCCAGGGAGATGGCTCAGTAGAAAAAGCGCTTGCCTGGCAAGCACAAGGGCCTGAGTGTAATCCCCAGTTCTGCCAAAAAAAAAAAGAAAAAAAAATTTACACAAGTACTTTTATTCTAGCATTATAAATTTAGACAATTTAGTTAAAATTATGCATGATGATGGAATATAACATGTATCTGTCCTGATTTTATTATGATTATTGAGGTCAAATAATTTGATATCATTTGATTATTAGTGCAGTAAAACTTGTGTTGGCATGTCTCACATGGAATTAAAAAGTACTTAAAATTTAAACCAAGCTATAATAAAAATGAAAAGCATTGTTTGTTTTAACAAAATTTATTATGCAGTAATTACAAAGATTAAAGGCTCTTCCATCTCAAATAAAAATAACTTATAATTACACTCATAATATAGTACCTTAGTGGTTCCTAAAGTCACAGGAAATAGAGTGCGTTTCAAGTTGGAGAGGCAGCTCCTTGCTCCTGCCCATGTCTGACACAGGAAAGCCTGCTTGCTCTTAGAGCAGTGCACGCAGCACGGGGCCACACAGCTCCTTCAGAATGTGAAGTAGCGGGCAAACCACTCCTGGCGCTGGGGATCTGGAGAAGCTGCGGGGGAAGCTTCACCCTGAGGAGGACTGAATTCATAGAGAGAGATGGTGACCCCGCATGGAGTGGTTTTGCAAAACAAAGGACAAAGCACATCAGACATCAGTGCAGACCACGACAGCGGCTTCCATGCAGGCTGTGCTGCAGACCGCTGCTCCTGTGCTCAGAAGAGCAAGGGGCCTAGCACTGCCCCAAGGTCAGCGAGGAGCAGCCCGGGCTCAGCAGGACCACCACTCACAGCACGGACTGCCAGACACGAGCAAACCACACCACACCTCCTGGCGCAGCAGCTCTGAAGGAATCGTGGGAAATGAGGAGGACGGTCCCTCTCAGCACTTGCCCCCATGTAGTTAAAATTGTAGGGTCTGATACAAGCACTTGCTTCTTACAAATATATCACTAAATGTAACTAAGTCAAGTTTAGTGTTCTTTACTCTGTGCATATGCATATTAAGTGTTCATAATTCCATAAGCAGACACTAAGAAAGGGAGTGCACTCAAGTTCCACTTTCCCTTCTAACTTCAGAGTTACACAATTTATACTTAATTCTAACTACAGAGCGTTTGGGCTACTGGAGAAAACAAAAGAATCCCTACCGTCTCTGGGGCAATTACAAGGCACCAACAATGAAATGGAAACTCCGGTCCTGCTCCTTGGGCTCATGCACATGCACCTTACTGAAACCTGAACGCAACCATGCGCAGGGAAACAAGCAACACAGAAGGTTAGCAGGAGGCGCTGCACGGGCGGGCTATTAGCTTTGTCATAAGTCAGCCCCAAACAAAAGGCTGCTCTTGCTAGTGCCTTGCTGTGTGCAGTGAAAATAATAATAAGCAGCTAAAAAAGTCACTGGTGATAAGGTGAGCACGAAACGTAAAGAACAGTGCGTTTTGGCTTTCTCTTATGGCTAACTCACTTCAGTCAGAATTTACTTGTAAATGTGAGCAGTAACTTGGCAGTGACTTAAAGTTAGAATGTCAATTTTAAAGCTATGTTTTCAAAATCTTTTGCTAACATATACCATTATTGCTCAGAGCTTACATTTTAATTTGGCAATAAGCATATGTATATGTTTATTAATGTCTGACAAATAAAGGAAAAATTATATAACAAGAGACAAGTAAAAGCTTAATGTTCCCCAACAAGGATGGGTTATTAATCCAAATGTGACAAGACTGTAAATGGATCAAAGTGACCATATTAAAACCCTAAGCACATGAATTCATGGATAGTTCTTTCAACATCTAAAAACTGATGACAAAAAATTGGAAAAAAATTTAAAGACTCAAAAAGTTAAAGACAAAACTAGATAATAAAAATATTCTGAAAATATGGCACAGTAATATTTGTTGTTATTAAAACCATGGATTTCTGCCAGGCATGGTGGTGTACACCTGTAATCCCAGCACTCAGGAGGCGGAAGCAGGAGGATCACTGAGTTGGAGCCCAGCCTGGGCTACCAAGTGAGCTCAAGGCCAGCCTGTATTACAAATAGCGAGACCCTGTCTCAAAAAGACCAAAGCAAAAATAGTGGATTTCTACAATGTAAGACTGACTTCTGAGGTTTAAAAAACAGAAGAAAAAACCATTGGTGAGACAGGGCTCACCTCAAAAATGTCCTGGACTCTTTGGGCGGTACTGGTTGCGGAAGTGGTTTGCTGCTGTTGAAGGCAACATCGTGGGCTGGAGAGTTAGGAATGGGGTCCAGGCGGTTAGGGTGTCCATTGCCCACTCCGCCGGATTCCAGAGCACTTAGATTGGGAACACTCACAAACCTGTTTGTTGGTGATTTATCGTTCTTCTTCTTTTGCTGCATTAAAAATAATATATGTGAGGACAATTGCTGCATAAGGACAGGCGAGTAAACAGGAATAGCGAAGATCAAATTTGGCATGGAAAATTTTGGAAGCTTTGTGTTAAACGAGGATGTTAGAGATACCAGTGTTCACCCAAGTGTGTCTGGGGGTCCTTGGAGGTGGATCTACATAGAGTCCTCAGAGACAGACACCATCTGGGAGAGAACGAGGGGTGACTGTGTGGGGCTTCACGCACAACCCCGTCTAGCCTCCGTGCCATCCAGGGAGGGTGGAGGGGGTGGCAGGCCTTCCAAGGGGCAGAGAGGACCCAGAGGACCAGGGGATGGGAAAGAGTGGTCCTGGCGGTGTCTACCATGAGGGTAAACTGGTACGGGCTAAAGGCGAGGGGAGGAGGAAAGTTAATCGCAATTGTGAGAAAGCTCCGTGAACTTTAGTCCTCTGTCAGAGGGAGGCGGCTCTTGCCTGGAAAAAAGGAATGAGAAAAGGCTGGGCAGTGTAGCTTGAGACACTCACATTTCTAAGTTAGCGCTAAAGGTGGTCTAGAGAAAGAATTTACTCTTCCCTCTGTGACATCTTTCTGAATAGAAAATATTAAATCTGTATAATTCAGTCCATTATCAATTAATTGGCACTATCAATTGGCTCACTTTAAAAAGTTAAAGAATATAAAACAAGTTATCAAAAATTTAAAATGTCTTAAGTCTTTAAGGGATAAAAAGGAGTACAATTGCAGATTGTCAAAAATCTATCAATTTGAAAATCACTGACTTTAATTTCAATTTATATCTAGAATCGATCACACCTTGTTATGCACAGTAAAATGTCATAGTTTAGACTACTCATGTATACATATGCTAATACATTTATATTTATATATGTAGGTTTATTTTTGCAGAATAACTGCAATCTTTAAAAAATTGAATAAATACAGAGGATTCCCTTGACTTCACTATCTAGATGCGCTCCTCTGTGTCCCCCTGGGACCCACAGTCTCTGACGGGATCCTACCCAAGCCTGTCTGGCTTCAGAAGTGTGTGTGAGCACCACGGCCTCCAGGAGGTCTGAAGCAGCTGGGAAGACCTCGGGACATGTCCTGTCTGCATGTTCATATCCTAGTCACTACAGGACATAATTACATGTACTTAAGCTTTTTATTTTAAGAAATCAAAAGTATAATTGGTAAGCCTCTATAGTAATGGCTGAAAAAATTCCAATAAAAAAATAAAAATTATTTCTAGCATATCTTTTCCAAGTCTCATTGTCTTGCTATATAATTAAAAGTTTATGTCACATTATCAGTTTTAAAAACTAAAATGAATTGCATTCATTCATTCACCAGCTTACAGAGCTTTTTGTGTGACAGGCAGTGTGCTAAGGTCCCTAGATCCAGGAGCCTGCACCTACTAATCATTCCTTGCCAGCGTCTTCTACAAAACATTCACGTGCAAACTTTTGAGCTCTTTAACTTCCGAAGGAAAAACGATTTCAGTGTTCTGAACTGCAATTGGTCTACCTGGCATGCACTTTATGAACTTGAAAAGCAAATGTTCTGAGCAATGATGTGCAACAATCTGAATTTAAAAGGAACTTTAATATCAGCACTTTTATTCTATTGATTTCTTCCAAAAGACTTACAATCCCCATGAAGCCACTATATATAATTATTTATGATTACTTTATTGACAGATAATTTGTAGTGAATTATAGAAAATAGGTTCAAATTTTGCAACTAAATGTTTATGGAATACCCCAAGCAGCAGGATCAGTGGGAAGCAGGGCACGATTAAACACATCCCTTGCACAGCTCCTCGGCCCGCGGAGCAGCCCGTGGTGTCAGAATAAGCTATGTTTCATTTTAAACGTCAGCACCCCACAGGGCTGCTCACTCCCTCAGGACGCTGGCCTTCAGCGAGGGGCAGCTGCAGCGCATCTGGCTGGAGGCTTTCGGGCCCCACAGGATTGGAATCAGTAAAGAAATGGCAGAAAGTCAACCAAAGGGGAGTTAAAGGAAGTTTAATTTTCTTTAGGAAAATATAAAACAAAAAAAACTAAGGTTTTATAATACTAATATTTAAGGCATATATATTAATAAATAAAATTAATGATCTCACGTAAACAAAAAACTCAAAAATTTCATAGTCAAATATTTTGAGAGCTTTATCTTGTAATGCTGCGGATTTACCAAATTTAAATTTAATCCATATTTTAAAGTGTCCACAACACATACCTTGGCCAGTGGATTAATAACACCAACAGTGGGACTTGAATTAAACACTTTGTTGAAGTTAGTTTCACGATTGATTAATTCCAGTTGATAAAATTTATTATCCTCCTATGTAAGAGAATTAGAAACATTTTTCAACATTTTCTACCAAACATTTACAGCCTTAATTGTGTAAGTGCTATTTTACTCAAACTTAGATTTAATACTGACAAGAAATACTGACAAGAAGCCTTCTCTACCTTGTGGAAAGATTTCTGGACCTCATCGCTGGTGTCTGGTTGCTGGGAGGGGGGCAGGAGTCAGCCTCTGTTAACCCCATGCCTAAGTCCTGACTTCCTCCCCAGCGCTGTTCCGCAAGGCTGGACCTAAGTGTTTTTTCTCTGGTCCCAGCTCCGCCTCCAGGAACACACCGTGGGTCTACAAGCGGGCTACCTGGCTGCACAAGCTGCGTACGAGCTGGGTTCCCACTTCTGAAGATGACACTGTGATACCTTACGGTGCTGCACTTCTCGGAGAGTTCATCTCATCTCTGATACGCAACTGTACTTCAGCAGCAGTACCAGGGAAAGCGCGAATGGCCCCAGCAGTGATAAAACCTTTGGCTTCGGCTTACTGAGGAGCCAGACTGGGAAAACCCTAAGAGGATAGAGCAGGGCGGGGTGCAGATGCAGGGGTGTGGGGCCTCACTCCCTCTCTGCTGAGCCAGGCGCGGTGCAGTGGCTGGGCCTGGACCTGGCCTGGAGGCGGCGCACTGGGGAGGACACTGCTCTGGGTCCTGTGCCTGCCGGCCCTGTGGTGAGGATGAAATGCAGCCATGCCCTGAAGCCGCCTGGGGAGAAGCCCTGCAACCCGCGGGCTGCGGGGAAGGGCCCGTGGAGGTGTGCCCACGCTCTGGCCTCAGCCTCGGAGTCCCTGCTCTGCGGAGCACTGCTCCCGGGGCCACCCGAGGTGGCTGGGGATGACGCCTTCCCTGGGTTCCGCGGGGGACCTTGTGCTCACCCTGCTGCTGTGGCAGGTCTTCTAGTTCCCTCAAAAAGCCCAGAAAACAGTTTAAAGAGCCGAGAAATAACGGTGCTCTTCTGCGTGGTCTGCATCGTGATACCCCAGGTTTGCAGCTGAGGGGACGAGTAAGCCCGCAGAAGGGGCAGCGTTCTACGCTAGCTTTCCTCTGAGGATTTTCATTTATTAGTGGCAGGAAAGACACATTTTCCTTGCTAACCAGGACTTACCATTATAGATGAGTGAAATGCTTTGTCCATTTTAAAACGTTCCTGTTTTATTTCTAAGGAAAAATGGCTTCACAAAGGCAGCCTACTTAGGGCACATCTGCACGTTCATCCCAGACTTCTCAGAGCCCCGGACACCCCGGAGTTCCCACCTGCCCTGCAGCGATGCAGAGCACTTCCTGTGCTCGAGGGGCGGAGGTGAGCGGGACTGCCCAGGAAGTGCAGGCAGGGCGAGCCCCCTGTGCGGTGTGCCCGGCTGCGTGGGCAGCACACGCTCACAGCTCAGCGGCGTGCCCGCTGGGCAGTGCCAGGACACAGAGTAACACTCTGTGTGTGTGTGTGTGTGTGTGAGAGAGAGAGAGAGAGAGAGAGAGAGGATTCTTTTAGAGGATGTTGAAGAAAAAGGCCCAATTCCCTTGCCCTAATGTCAGATTTAAATTTTAACAACTGCACTTCTTATGGTTATTTATAAACATTTCAACAATCTTTTTATTATAATCTACATATTTGGTACTATTTGCATTTAGTGTTACTTGAAATATTTTCCCAATCTATTGACTATTAACATTGTTAAAGTGAAACCAAAATAATCTTACGATTAGTTTCTTTATGACCTGGTCTCTTTCTGTAAGCATAGTTTTTAATTCTGCAATCATCTGTATATCTTCGGGCTTTGATTCTCTCTTGAGGTATTTTTCTTCCATTTCTTCTAATCTAAAAACAAGAAGACCTTCAGCTTATTGATGTGACTCAGACACATTATTTTGTAACATCTACGTTTTCCAGTTCATCCCATTAAATGTGCACAATTTAAAGCAGCTGTTTTCGCCCTTGAACGCCCCTACACCTACAGACATGCTGGCCTCTGAAGCTGAGCAGCGGGAAGGTCGAGCCGTGCCTGTGGGCACTGCTTAGGGAACTGTGGTGAGCCCACTGGACGGCTGTGTGGGGCAGCCGTGGATACCGCCCTGTGAGGACACAGGCTTGGGACACAGAAAAGGGACACGGAAAGACAGGAAAGGGGACAAAAGACACAGGCAGGACACCATTCCCTCCAGTTTCCTGGATACAGAGCTGAACATTTCTGTATTATCAGCCACTCTGCTCTCGGGGTAAGAAGTGCCCCTTCCTTGTGGGCCTATGCTTCCAAGTGACAGGACTGAACACCACTGGTGTCTAAAACAGACATGACTTTGAGGACAGACCTCGCTCACAGGCAGAGTAGAAAGGCAGAAGCTGCCAGCGTGGTTTAGGGAAAAGCTGCATAGTTTTTAAAAATGTAATTGAGAACAAGTAAAATGTGTATTATTTTCAGAAAATGAAGGACTGTTTAAGCTTAATAAAATTGTGATTGATGATTCACACACACACACACACACACACGCACACACAAAGGCATCCACTCAGCAAACACTGAGTGCTTCACGATGACCTGCTTTCTAGAAATCTGTGACGCATCCCTGTCTCTGCGCCCAGCCCGGAGGGTCTTAGATGCTCTACCTTTATAAAGCGCTCCACTAACTTGGCCCACGTGGAGATTCGCAGAGCCCTTCTGGCCTGCACGAAGCTCCAACCCACTGCGGACAGCCCAGGGTGGCGGAAGTGTGCGCTGCAGAAGAGGCCGCCCGGGATCTGCACAACTTCTTTCCTGACCTTTCCCTGGCTCTCTAGTGACGGCCCAGCTGTGAGCCCCCGCAGCGCGCACCTGCGCCTCACCACTGTACGGTGCACTTACTCTCGTGTTTTTAGGGGCAAGGATTAAGAAGGCTGCAAAACACCTGCTAGTCCAGGAAGGGGCACCTCCCTTGAAGCCTGGCAGCCACCAGATGCCAACCACGGGCTGTACGTTATTACAAGTGAAGTGGAAGATGTCTGAGCTGCTGCTGGCAGCTAAGCCGGAATATGTGGTATAAGTGGTAGCTAAAAACTAAATGCAAAGCCTTCTAGCACCAGGAGAAGTGAAGATCAAGCGAGTTTACAATACCACTTAGCTTCTGAGACCCCTTTACTCCGCCCTGAATGCAAGTTCCAGTTTACTTTTACTTGGCATAAGCGTGCTTTGCCTACAGTTAATCCTCCCACAAAATATCTTCACACTACCAATTTAGAAAAGAGGAAAAATAAACATAATTTTATATAATAGGAAAGCATTAAAGGAGAGAACAAGCATAGGCTCCAGACTTCACTTGCAAACATACCTTGAGAATCTCTAGTCTTCCCAAGTCTCACGGGAAGAAACCGCAGCCCTGCCCTTGGCTCCATGCGGCCGACACTAAGCTTCCCCTCCCTCGGCCACCCGGGCAGGGCCAGCTCGACAAACTGCGCCTGCCTCGCAGAGCGCAGGTGAGCACATTGCTTGGGCCTTCCTCCTGGGGCTTCCGGTCCCAGGCAGCAGGACAGCCACACCTGCCAGCCTCTCCCCGCACGCCAGCCAGAGCCCAGCAACAGCTTCTGTTCTCATAGAAGTTACAGCCATACTGTTACAGCCCAGCTGTTCAGAGTAAGAAGAAAATGCTTTCAATTATCATAGTTTACTGCAGAGATAGCAACTTTTCCTGTTTTTTAAAAGTAGAAATGAGTCCATTTAAAACTGTTAAGAAAACACCATTACAGGTAGCTGGAAGCAACCAAATACGCAGAATTTGTATCTGGACGACTTCAGCCTGGGAAAGCCCTCCACGAGGGAACCACGTGAGTGCACATAGCCTTTTACTTAAAATATGTATTCCTAGTGGGAGTCATATAAAGACAGAAGAAGAGAGCACCTACAACCACTAACTAGGGTCCCTGTTGCATGCTTACCAGGCGCACATTCCCCTCCCCACCCCCTTTTTCTTGGTCTGAAACTGACTGCATAGGCCAGTGTGTAGCTCATGAATGTCTAAAAAACTGTAAAACTGCAGTTTTCCAACTGATGAACCTCCCTTGTTTTGTAAAATGAGCAAATACAAAAATTACCAAAAAAAAAAACAAACAATCACTAAGTTGAGGCATTAGAGCCAAACAACTGCATTATCCAACACATGAACTTTCCAGCTTTAGTCTTTGAAGACGAAAGGACTCTACTGTACTGTCCTTCTCTGCAGTCTTAGCTACAGGACTGAAGTACTCTGATGTTGGCTTCTTTTTGTAAATGTGTAGAGTGGACTGAGTTGTGACAACAGAATTATGACCTCCACCCAGAATTTATGAAGTTACGTGATGTATGGTGAACTGAAAGTCAAGCAACAATGACAGGCCCTGGAGAATCATGGATAAGGAGATTCAGCCCTGTAAGAGTAAGGAATGCTGGGAGGTGCAGGCCGTTTGAGTCCAAGATTACTCACCTACTTAAAGTTCGTGTACGGAATCAAAATTTCCCCCTTGCAGAAGTAATCATTTTGTTGTACTACAGAGCTCAATTGATGTCAGCCCAAGCAATCAGGAGCCACCTCCAAGTCGCCAGGTGGTAACGATGTCTAAACGTGCCCTGGACTCCAGCTCTAGAGCTTTCCACTGAGCTTCTGCTCAGATACAACAGTAGCCAGTTCTCCCATTTGTTTTGGAAACAAACACAAACCCTGGTATTTCTGTTGCATACAGGGCCTTTCAAAGATAAGATGTTTGCTGAGACAAATAAAATTCCTACACAAATGTCTGGAAAGTGGGCTTTGAGCACCAGCTCTGACCAGGAGGGTTGCTAAGGCGCCTCAGATCGCTGCTTCTCCTGGGGCAGCGCAGAAGGTGCTGCAGGCAGCTCTGGCCTCAGCTCCGGCTCAGGCCCAGCAGGCAGAGCCCGGGTCCTGGCCCCTGCCAAGTCTGCGGAGAAGCCACAGGCTGCTTTCTGACTGAGGCTTTAAAGCCAGTCCTTAGAGGAGGGCAGGAGTGGAAGGGACGGTTTCCCTGCCTCTGCCAGCTGAAAAGCACTCTCCTGTTCACCACCATAGCCTTGCTCCGCGTCTCCCTGTGGCTCCGCAGGCCGACCAGACGTGCACTGCCCCAGAGAAAGCAGCAGCTCGCTCCACGGGCATGCCAGCTACCCGCTGTCCTGGGGTGCTTGGAGTCCTTTTACCAGACAGAGCAGACACAGCACTCTCGCTGCCTCAGAAAATGCTGCTCAGAAGAAAGTCTAAGTTTCTACAGAAAGGAGTGACCTAAAGCTGGAGGCTGATGTATCACCAGCACAGGAGGCTTCTGGTGAGAAGTGACACACGCTGTTTAACACGGAAAGTATAGAATGCGTGATAGGGATGGGAAAGCAGATAAAATATCAGCAACACTAACTCTTCAGTTATTAAAACATAATGTAGAAAAGCTAAATGCCACTTACTGTCTGCTAAAAATTTATAATGTGTAAAATCAAGTACAACACAATAAAAGTAAAAAAATCAGATGCAATCTTCTCTTTCTGCAAACTAACATTCCTAAGGAGCCAAGGGCTAGGACCAGACCGAGGCTGTTCATTTGTGAGCATGTCCAGCTCAGCCCAGGAGTCCCGAAGCTGGGGAAGTGCTGCCAGCAGGCCCAGTCTGCCAGCCACATTTCTGCAAATGCAAATGCTTGAGGACCTAAGCGCTCCCACAGGGAGGTACCGAGCTTGCGCTATGGCTCGGGAGACAGCAGCAAGCACCACACTCCCTGCGCTCAGGAGAACAGAGCAGGACTCTCAGCCATTGTAGGGCTGCTTCACAGAGCACTCAGTGTGCTAGAGAACACTCATAAAGTACGCTTGTGACACACTCAGAGCACCACCAAAGGAGGAGACCCTGAGGACGTGCATCCTGCATCCGAAGAGCAGCCTGTCCTGGGGGCCGCTTGACAAAATACCAGCGACTGGAGGCTGTTTCCTATTTTGGTTGAGAGGGCTGGGGAGATAGTTCAGTGGCATAAGTGTCTGCTTGGCACGCACAAAATCCTGAGTTCTATCCTTCAGGATAGAACAAACAAACAAAAGTTGTCCTATTTCGGCTCAGAGACAGAGACAGAGACAGAGACTGTGTGCGTTTGCACCTGCACCTACATATACAACCATTCACAGACCAAAAGCATTACGTGGATAAACTAAGAACATGACTCTCCCATTCAAGGAAGGTAGCCTGAGGTACCACAGGAGGCAGGCGGGGCCACTGCAGAGGGAGCTTAAGTCTGACACTCAGGGTCAGGGGACTGGGCGTTAGCAGTGACTTCACGGGAGCTCACAGACAATTGCCTGGAAGAGAGAGACTTAGGTGCTCCTGGGCACAGACTAGGTAGCCCGACTTGGAGCAGGGTTTAGGCCACAGAGGTGGCCTGGACACAGGTTCCTAGGGCAATAGCGTTTTGTGCGGATCAAGGGAAGAGCGCTATTATATATTTTAAAGCAATATTAAATATTAATTAGAAATTTCGATTTGAAAAATATTGGAGTTACTTTGAGTAATTACCTCATTTGTAATGATTTTTTACTGATTTTTAAGACCATAAAATAAATGCTTGTGGTGGGAATTCAAGCAGCATGTGAATATAGAAAATAAAGTCTGTTCTTGCCCATCCCTAGAACCCCCGGTCCGCTCTCTGTGGGGACTTCTATCACCTCTACCTATGTTTTGTAGGCTATTTTGATACTTCTGTAAAGCATGTGTTACTAGTTCAGTACTGCATGGAACTGTAACATCTTGATAGCTCGTGACATGCTCTTTTCACGTAACACCAGACAGCGGACCTATTCTGAGGTATCACTGGGGCCGGAAGGTACCCCAAGGGACATTCCCGAGGACTACTAGAACTGCTGCAGCAGTAGCTGGCGAAGTATACTGCTCCAAGCCTGGCCCTGAAGCAAGAGCACATCACACTGCAACTAGCCACCGCAGTTAACACCCTCGAGTTCTTCTCCAACATCATTTCATTGCATTCAAAACAGTCGTTACTGTGCGTTTGGACCCAGTACCCCTTAGTTTGTTATCCACACACGAATTTTCTGTAACGCGACTTACGACACTTGTAAAGCTGCATTTATCTCCTTGAGGAGGTCATTAGTCCTATTAAAATCTGCCCGCATGATATTTTTCTCTCTGAGGTGGTCTGCTGTCATGACATCCAGCTCTTTTTCAAGTCTCTTGTTTAAATCTTGTTCATGCAACCTGTTTAATTTATTTTTAGTTAAGAAAATGTTACTCTGAAGTCAGGTTTTCAAAGTTTTCTATATTTTACCAGATTTGAAATGCTCTTTTAACATATGGAAAAATTAATGCAAGCTGCCTAAATTAAGCTACTTACTTTGCTATAATCTTCTAGCTTTAAGTTATCTCCTTTAATGCTTTTTCTAATATTTTTAAGACTTTAATCATATACTTTAAAAGAATTTAAACATGTACTTTAAATACATATACATCATTCAAAATATAAACATTCTATCTATGTCCTGCATTATAACGCAATCAACAAGTAAAGCAGAAAACGGCCTCGACTGTCTCACTAGGAGGGCACGGGTCACAGAGCGGCTGGGGCTAAGCCCGCTCCAGCCTGCTGCGCATGGCGCACCTCATCTGCTGGTTGGACTCGCTGCGTATCCTCAGGATCTCTTTCCCCTTGAGCTCCAGCTCTGCGGTGAGCGCGCCGATGTTCTCGCGCAGGTGCTGTAGCTCCTCGCCCAGGTCCGAGATGTGGCGCTCTCTGAGACGCAGCTCCCCCTGCAGGTCCGTTATCCTGCACTGGTGCTCCTGACTCTGTAAAAACAAGGAAGCTGCTGCGCCCTGGCTCCGAGTCATCTGAGGGAAGCGAGGGCATCATCGGGTGTCGGAACAGTCCCCCGGCGCTGCAGAAGCAAGCGCCTGCCTGTTTCCTTCCATGTACCTGAGGAGCACTATATGGATACGGCTTAAAATGATGTCAGGGCTGTAAAGGACCCGAAAGATCAGAAAAACACAGCTCCTTCATTCTACAGACGGAAAACCCACAGCTGAGCCCTGACTGTCAGCATGCCCTGTTCTGGGGTGAGCCGAGACTTAGCACTGTTGCTGTCCCACCGTCCTCAGTGGACACTGGGTGTGCTGGCCTCTGGCCCAGCGCTAGGCTAGCCGTAGCCCTACAGATAAGTGCCCTTCCATTTTCCTAAAAATCGCTGTTTCCACGAGCTCTGCAGCCTACACACTGCGGACGTCAGTGTCAACCGAGTGGACTGAAAACTTTCCTCCCTGGTCACAAGGTGGCTCACTTAACACGTCCTTGGCACATGAACCTGTCCCACCAGGCAGCATGTACCCTAGTGGCATGAACAAATCTAATCACTTTTATCAGCCTCTTTACTAATAAAGTACTAATAAAAGTCTATACATAGTCTAAATCTAGTCCATGAATCTGAGCAATCATTGCCCAACTATAAATTAATACTATTCATGCCAATTAAACATCACAACAATCAAATTTATTTCATTAAATTAAGAGAAATTTATAATCATGGATAATTTATGAATAATTGTCTAAATTTTAACATGGAAATGGGAGCTGGGGCTGTAGCTCAGTGGTAGAGCACTTGCCTAGCATGCACAAAGCTCTGGATTCAATCCTCAGCCCTGAAAATAAATAAATAAATAAATAAATAAATAAATAAATAAATAAATAAATATAAACACGGAAATCTTACAAGTATCCCACTCCTGGTATACAGAATACACATTTAAACTGCTATATCACAAACTAGCTGGAGTACAATTTCTATACCATTTTCATATTCTCCTTAAGTGACTGTAATATGATATCTGAACTGTTAAATCAGTGCCATTCTTTGCATTTTTATAAGCAAAGACCCCTAAGAACTGGTTCAAGAGACTGAACTCAAATCAGAGCTGCTCAGCAGCAAAGGTCAGCCTCATTATGAAGATAAAGTGGGCTATCATTTCGCACAGGCAGGGGGGCCTGGCCGTAGCTCAGTTCTTTAAGTGGCTGCTTCCACCAAGCTGTCAGCCTCAGGTGGCTCTAGTTTGATCCCCACAACTCTCCAGCCAGCCAAACAAGGCCTGAGGGCATTTGGAGGAAAAAAAAAATCCTCATTTCGCACAGGCAAAGACTACAAGTCAAGTCTGAGGTCTGATAAGCTAACGGCTCTCACTGCATGATGCCTAAAAAGCCATCCTTCCAGATGTACAGTCTCAAGATCACAAACTAAATCAAATATATTGAGCAAAAGAGCAAGGTTTGAAAAGTCCAAATAGCGGTCTTGCTAAGAGGCCACAGAAATGTAAGTTACCTTGTTCCTCCTGCGGGGTCTATTACTTTTCCCCCTGCTATGCAAAGTATCTGTTTAACCTCAAATTTAAACTCACGAAAATTAAAACCAAAGATGCATTTTCTTGGCTGCATGGAGCACACCTGGCACATGCAACCGTGCAGCACAAGCCAAAGGAAGAGCACCTCAGCCCCAGGTGGCTCCATGGGCCACAGCTGCCCACATGCTTCACGTTATTTCTGTGGGCCACGACTGCCCACATGCTTCACGTTATCTCTGTGGGCCACGACTGCCCACATGCTTCACGTTATCTCCATGGGCCACGGCTGACCACAGGCTTCATGTTATCTCCGTGGGCCA